GGGCTAGATAATGCTTCCTTGAGGCCCAGACCCTGGTCTGTCCTCCACCTGTCCCTTCCCAGCAAAGTCAGAGTGCAAAGGCCTCCTGCGTGGTTAGGGAAGCCGAGGCCCGAGGCCCGGGGACTAAAAGGAATTGGGCTGGAATCATTATGCATTTAAAATATATATATAGCATAATACGCTAATTAGACCGGACGTACTTCGGACAACCTTCTGGAGGAAGCGGGGCTGCAAGGGAAACAGGTCCCAGGTGCCAGAGGGAAGCCGGTGCCTGGAGCCAGGGGAAGGAAGGCCTATTCTTGCACGAATTTCATGCATCGAGCCTCTAGTATATATATTACTGACTTCAGAGAGGGAAGGGGAGGGAGAGAGAGAGAGAGAAACGTCAGTGATGAGAGAGAAGCATTGATCGGCTGCCTCCTGCACGCCCCCCACCGGCACCCAGCGGGGCATGTGCCCTGAGGGAGGATGGAACATGACCTCCTGGTTCAGCCCCTGAGCCGCCCGCCCGGCCAGGCTGGTCACGCATTTATCATGGTAACATCTGTGCGCTCACTGCGGACGCAGCAGGGCCCCACCCCCTGCCTTGATGGAGTGACAGTTTAGTGACAGGGAACAGCATGTTGTCCGGTCGGGGCAACAGGGCTTTGAAGGAACATGAGAGAGGGTAAGGGGTGAGCGGTGGCACAGCCGGGGAGGGGAGAGGAGGTCCGGCCTCTGGGAGGTGACAGCGGTGCAGAGACCTGAGGGAGCCAGCCATGAGGGGAATCTGGAAGGGAAGCAGCAGGTGCAAAGGCCCTGGGGTGGGCGTGGCTTGGCCTGTTTGAGAGGCAGGGAGGATGTCCAGGGCTGGCCCAGCTCGAGCAGAAGGAAGAGTGGGAGGGAGAACAGGAGCAGAGAGGTGAGGGGGTGTGTGGGTGAGGATGCTGGGACAGGGCAAAGGAGAGGGATGAGCCCCAGGGGACCAGGCACAAGGGACTAAAAATATCACCACTTCCGAGGCCCCAGGCTGGAGAGGGGACAGGAGCAGACCTGTGCGGCCCTAGGGGCTGTGGGAGTTTCCAGCCCCTGTGAGAGGGAGGGGAGCCTCTGAGGGCTGTGAGCAGGGGAGAGACGGGACCCAGACACATCATACTACTGGTGGGTGGCACAGCTCAGCCCCTGGGCCCCTGATAAGCCCTTAGAGCAGTGGTTCTCAACCTGTGGGTCGCGAACCTGTGGGTCTCGACCCTTGGTGGGGTCAAACAACCCTTTCACAGGGGTCGCCTAAGACCATCGGAAAACACATATATAATTACATATTGTTTTTGTGATCCATCACTATGCTTTAATTATGTTCAATTTGTAATAATGAAAATACATCCTGCATATCAGATATTTACATTACAATTCATAACAGTAGCAAAATTACAGTTTATGAAGTAGCAACGAAAATAATTTTATGGTTGGGGGTCACCACAACATGAGGAGCTGTATTAAAGGCTCGCGGCATTAGGAAGGTTGAGAACCACTGCCTTAGAGGGACATGTGGTTCTTTCTGGCCACACAGCTCTGAAAGCCCTTTCTATGTTTGGGGAGGTCACCACCCTATGGAGGCCTCCTTTGGAGAAGCCAACAATTCTAGAAACTTGGCTTCCCAGAAACCTCTGCAGTTAGTCCACTCTGGACATGAAGGCTCAGAGAGGTTAAGTGATTTGCCCAACGTCACACAGCTGGAAAGGAGCAGTACTGAAAGATAAACTGGCTCAGGGCTGTGGAGAAAATAGTTTCTAGGCCTCTCGACAACATCAGACTCTGTTGTCAACCCAGAGTCCCTTTGCAGGTGTTCAGGCCCTGATCATTTGTACCCACGCCCCCTTTATCACTCCAGCAGTCTGGCTTCAGGCTCCAAGCACTTCATGTGTATTAATCAGGGCAACTTCCCAACAGTCCTATGAAGTGGGTACTGCAATTTTACAAATCAGGAAAGCGAAGCCCAGAGAGGTCAAGACATTTGCCCAAAGTCACACAGCTGAGGAGTAGCAGAGTTAGGCTGGACCAGACAGTCCGTCCCTGAGTTTGTATTCATAATCCCTCCGGGTCCTACCTCTTTATGCCGAGGCCCCATTTTACAGAGGGGGGATTGTGAGGCTGAAAAGGGCGAGGAGGTGGCTCAGGGTCACAGCTGGCATTCCGGAATGCCAGCGCTGACACGCTTCCCTGCACCCCCAAGGCCCTGGCACTGCAGAGCGACCTGCTTCCGAACCCTCTCTGTTTCCCACCACCTTCTCTGTCCCAACTCTCCCCTGAGGAGGTGGCTGCCGAGTCCCCCATGGCCCAATCCTGGTGGTCCCTGATGCCGTCTGATTCAGGGAAGACAAGGGTAAATCCAAGCCAGCCCCAGAGCCAGAGAGTTAGGGACCTGCCCGTTACTTCTTGTTCTTGGAGAGCAAGGCCGGGCCTGCAGCAGCCCTGCAATGAACTGGCTGCCAGGCCCATGGGGGGGCGGGGTGGGGGAAGACAGGCAAATCAGAGAGTCTTTCATGACTCCCCTCCTGCCATCCAAATCCATATTTATCAATTTAGCTACACATTGTCCTCTAGGTGTTGCTTTAGTTGCACCTCAGGGTTTTTGGTTTGGTTTGGTTTGGTTGTTTTCCATTCTGTTATTCCAAATTTATTATTTACATTGAAAATGTTATATTTGCAGTGAATGCGTGGTCACATCTATTCATATTTTAGCTTCTTTTTACACATATATATATATATTTATTGATGTTAGAGAGAAAGGAAGTGGAATAGAGAGATAGAAACATCAATGATGAGAGAGAATCATTGATTGGCTGCCTTCCATATTTTCGTTTCTTAAAGTTACCTTTTTATTGAGATATAACTATTCACTGAAGTGCCCTAAATCTTAAAATCAATGAACATTTATTTTATTTTTTGTTAATCCTCACCAGAGGATATTTTTCCATTTTTTAAAGAGAGAATGGGCCAAACCGGTTTGGCTCAGTGAATAGAGCGTCGGCCTGCGGACCAAAAGGTCCCAGGTTCGATTTCGGTCAAGGGCATGTACCTTGGTTGCGGGCACATCCTCAGTAGGGTGTGTGCAGCAGGCAGCTGGTCGATGTTAGGAGAGAGAATCATTGATTGGTTGCCTCCCATATTTTAGTTCCTTAAAGTTACTTTTTTATTGAGATATAACCATTCACTGAAGGGTCCTAATCTTAAAGTCAGTGAATTTTTATTTTATTTTTTGTTAATCCTCATCAATATTTTTCCTTTTTTTTAGAGAGAGAGAGAATGGAAGGGAGGGAAGGAGAGGGAGGGGGAGAGAGAGAGAGAGAGAGAGAGAAAGAGAGAGAGAGAGAGATGGAGCCTGCAATCAGGTACGTGCCCTTGACCAGAATTGAGCCCTCAACCCTTCAGTCCACAGGCCAACGCTCTATCCACTGAGCCAAGCCGGCTAAGGCAATAACCGTTTATATACCTGCACACGTGGGTAACCACCACCACAGAGAATGTTTCCGCTGCCCTGAAAGCTCTCCTTGCCCCTTCCAGTCAATGCCCCCTCTCTTTTTCCAAAGGAACCACTATCCTGCCTGTTAACACCAGGCATTAGCTTTGCCTGTTATTGAACTTTACATAAAGAGAATCATACAGGATGCCCTCTCTTTGGTCTGATTTCTTTTCTTTATTTTTTTTTTTAAATATATTTTATTGATTTTTTACAGAGAGGATGAGAGAGGATCATTGATCAGCTGCCTCTACAAGTTCCCCACCAGGGATCGAGCCCACAACCCGGGCACGTGCCCCTGACTGGAATCGAACCCAGGACCCTTCAGTTCGCAGGCCGATGCTCCATCCACTGAGCCAACCAGCCAGGGCCTTTTTTAAAAAATTTTTTTATCTGATTTCTTTTGAGCAACATTCTGTCTGTTGAGATTCATCTATATCGTCACATGCAGCAATAGGCTGTTCTTTATCACGTTTTGTTATGTAGTCGGTTGATTATTGTTTACTTCTACATACTTTCTAATTTTTGTTCTGATTTCTTTGTTGTCTTATGAATGGCTTTTTAAAAATATTTTTATTAATGGATAAAAAATAATGTCCACTGAGCCAAACCGGTTAGGGCTAAAAAATACTTTTATTAATGGATAAAAAATAATACATCA